TGTAGGTTATGTAGGTACTCACGTAGATAGAGATCTTTGATGTAGGTTTATTATGACGTGTATGGAAGATATTTCGTTTACTTAATGTACCTAATATGTTTATGAATATGTTTAGAAAATTAGTACATTTACATTAATTGAATAAACACAAATTGTGCAGTTATTCAAGTTGCAGTAGCTGGGTTACCAGGGGTTACAAGGGCCTGTAAGGGAGGTGCAAGAGCCTGGCCTCGGCTCGGAGTACGATAAGGGACGATTAATTTTAGTCAGAAAGTCTCTGACACTTCCTCTCACCCCACCCAGGGCGGGGAAATGCATTGACAATACTCAAAAAAGTGTCAGGGCTATTCGAGAGCTGTCGCGGTTTCGATACCCACTATATGTAATGTAATGTGTCATTGTTGCATTCAGGTGATCTACATATTGTTATTCTGACTTCAGGTAAGTTTGATTGGTGAATTAGGTATGCTTTTATAAGCGTATCTGCCTGCCCAAAATTGATGAGACAGCGCGCGAAAAATTTATAGTCTTTAGGTAGGTACTTACATTTTTAAAATCTGCCCTGCTTATCCAATTCAATCCATTGTTAAGCTATCCTTACGTGTAGCGTGCGTATATTCCTAAAGCACTCAGCAAAACAATGGGTGGTAAAAAATAAAATTTATGTCGCCCTCAAACTTTTATCGCCTGAGTTAAGATGACGATCGGGGTTAATTTAACGATCACTCAGTTCCAAGTGAAATAATTTTCCATTGTACCTACACCGAAGCTCATAAATCTGGTACCTACTGATCTGAAAATAAAGGTAAGCTGAAATGTAGGTAACTGTAGTGTAGTCGAATTAAATAAGTAGTCACAGCCACACACCTACAGCTGCATAAAGATTATGGCAAACCCCTATCCATGGACCTAGAGCAAAATTTCAAGAGTAACTTGTTTCGGATCCAGCGGACGGAAACGCCCGGTTATCGTCACTATGTGGGCCACACGTCGGCCAGGAGGACACGGTGGTGGCGGAGTGTTTTGTTATGTGAAAGGTCGGCAAACGAGCAGACGGATTACCTGATGGTAAGCAATCAGCGCCGCCGCCCGTTACGAGTGCGATGCCGACCTTTTGGGAGTTAGGGATTTGGGAGTATTAGGGATTGGGGAGGGATTTGGGCAGGGCAAGGATTGGGCCTCCGGTAACCTCACTCACACAGCGAAACACAACGATGGGGTTGTTTCGTTTATGCCGAAGCATGGCTCTCCCACACTTACGTGTTTTGCTTTGGCTGAACACTTTGTTCCCGGCCAAATTATTTGTGTCCAGGGTCTGGGGCGAGACGAACTGGAAAGCCGTCTTTCTGCGAAGCAGTCATGCTCGCAAATATGTCGAGCGCATGAGGGAACTATTCTCCTCACGCCCCGCATTAGGAGACACTCAGGGCGCCGAGGAACGCGAGATGATTTCCGGCCAACACAAGGTGCGGATCTGCCGCCCGACCAGAACCAAAACTGTGACCAAAACGTACGGCGCGTCACATTCCATATTCGCCTCAAGGAGTACGAGACCACCACACATTATGAGACCCAATAGAGCCGATATTTGAATTGTTTAATAAATGTTTTTATGTCTATACAACAAAGAATGAATAAAAAAATAGTATTACCTACAAGCAAACTCCACTTACACGCAACAAATCAGTTTTCTTCATAAAATAAAAGGAGAGTAAGTACCTATAAGTACCAAGTTGGAGTACCTTGCTACAATCTTGTTTATTGAAACTTATGAAACTGGAGATACTTCACAACACGATGCGAGCTCGTTAGTTTCAATAGGAAACTCACCTACCAACGCAATGTAAGTACCTAAGAACTTAGATGAAAATTAAATGGTGGCCGCAAACAAGTGTAGGTAATTGTGTGTGTCGACGCGACAGTGTCCGGCAAGAGGTTTTAAAATTATAAGTACAAAGTAGTAGTGCAAAAACATTTATTTCAAATAGACCAAAGCCAAGGTAATAATATCTACAAGTATTTCAACTTCATAGAAACGGCCGAAACGCGAACTATACCTACGCGCCCGATGTCGGGACGCGCTCTGGACGCAGACAGACGCGGCTGTACCGCAGTGACGAACGGACGGTGTGTTGTCTTCTAATTAGAAATCAGCTCGAGTACATTATTTAATATGACGAATAGGAAATATTGTGCTGTTATTATGTTTGGTTGCATGAATTCGTCAATAACGCATCCAGACATAAGTTTTTTTTAAATTACCTGGAAACTCTGAAAGGTAAGACTATAAAATAATTTTACTTACTAGTAGCCCAGGTAGGTACATAATGTGTGTCTTTATGGATCATTATTTCCAGTTATCTCACGAAAACAGAATATGTTTGAATTTATAAATAATATGAATAAAGTTATTGAGACGAGTGAAATAGGTAGTTATAGGCGGTTCTGGTTCTGAATGAATCATGATACGTTAGGTACCTACCCACTTACGCTTGTGGTAAAACGGTTCATGTATGTTTTGTTAGTTTGTATAATTCAAAGTAGAGAGTATGGTATTTTATTATTAATAATATTTGTTTATTATCTGCATTTATGAATAATACTAGAAAATATTTAATAACAACAATAAAACAGCTAGACTCACGTAATATTTTGATGTTTGAGGGTTGTGATTTTAGAACATTCGTAGTCAGCTGTTCAGTTCGGCATTAGTGGCCAAAGAAATTTTGTTTGTTTATTTTTAAAGCACTTTATTTGTTTGTATAAAAAAAAGGATATTTACAATCACAAAACTAAATGGAAACAGAAAGTAGACAAAGGTAATTCAAATACTGGAGACGAGCAGCCCTAACGCATGTTTACGTACCGCGCGGCTGTAGGTATTTATTTCTTTCAAGCGGCCGAGTTACAATACTGTATGATATTTATACTGTGCCAAAGCAGACACTTTTGAACGACAAGCAAAAAAAAAATAAAAAAAAATGTTTCAAAAAAAGGTTTGACTTTATTCGTGCGTGCCTATGTACTTATATAGGTATAATGACATTAATAAACCAACTGCTTTCGATTAGTATTTCAGGGTTGTAGTATCATACCTATTCATAACGAGCTACGTGCAACAGTTTTATACAGGTTAACGTACGTGGATACCTACTTGAATACAATAAGTACCTATGTTTTAGATAAAATACGTTATCGGCTCATTCATAATTGTTAAGTCGGTAGGTAAGAACTACAGTTGCTTAATTGCTCAGTTGTTGCAAAAAATTGAGAAGATCTTTTTCTTCTCGAAAAGTTTTTCTCGGTGGAGGTAACTGGTATGGTCTCACGGCCTAGATTTGAAGTATTATAGATATTTTTTTCCTGGAGGTTGACAAAGCGACTGCCTTCTCCGAAACTTAAATTCGTTTTATTGTTTTATATAATGAAAAAGAACGTGTCTTCGAGTAGGTACCTATACCTGCCCACTTAAAATTTATGCACTATTAGGTACCTACTGGTTGATCAATTAAATATATTATTTTCATCATGAACAGTTAATCTGAAACTCAAAACAATACTAATCTAGCACTAGATACTTAGCTACCTGGCACTTCCTAATTAGACTTTCAAAGCCAACGTAAACGTCTAACACAGAAGATAGATGATAGGGAGGTGTAATTTAACTCGGCGTCTATAATTAAAAGAGTGCTAGTACCGACTAGAAGCGACAAGCCACTCATCCGCATACTTATTTTGCTTGGCTTTGAGCAATTCTTAATCGAATGTCAGAAGCGGTAAGCGCGCGCCCGGCACTCAACACATCAGAGTAGGTAGTTGTGGTAGTATGCCAGTATGCCAGTAATTACTTTTTAATCCATAACGTCAGTTATATTCACAGTTCTTTTAAAGTTTACCTACTGTTAGTCCAGTCATCTTAGTAAAACTAAGGTGAGAATCTCGGAATTTGAGATACCAAGCTGCAGGTAGGTACCTACATAGGTATGTATAAAGTTTTGGACATCCTAAAAATTGCCTGAAAACCTAAGTAGACACTGTAAGGTGTCAGTATCAGTCAAAAATTAAGTTCTAAAACTCACAAAAATAGTTCCTTTTTTTCAATTTTCTGCAAATATCTCGTTCCTAATATCCTGTTCTGTACACTATTTGGAACGATATATTTGCTTTAGTTAGTTCCGTTCTTAGTAACTAAGACAACTGCACTATTTGAATAGTTTAAGGTTTTTAACTGAATAAGGGAGTAAAGTCGTTGTTTGTACCAAAATGTACGATTTTACAGTGTCTATTGATACCACGTGCTCTTTGTGATAAAGGAGCACGAAGACGGTAAGTTCACGAAGATTATATTGATGTGATTTTAGATGAATTGGGATGTTCAATCTTTGTGTGTTACCATTGATGACATAAGGAACTGAGATGTGAAAGTATTCTCTGACTTCAGGCCTTTTAGAGACTCACTCGGTTTTGCACGTGGTTGATAAAGATGGTGGTCTATGTAACAAAATAAATTACCATTCCCGCATTACGGTTTTACTTATGGTAACCTAATTATCTACTTAGGTATGAACTTATTTATTATTATTTTTGGTTCCTAGCTACTCTACTTGTGTATTCTTTGTTCACATCAACAGCCAAGTAGGTATAAAAACCAGCATACAACTCTTTCGACCCTCTAGAACACGATAGAAACAATTACGGCATCATTATTTTCATGGCAACACCGTTGTAGTTGTCCAGGAAATCCCCAGTGGTTAGGCGACCTAATTCTTCCACGCACCAATAACATCAATGCTCTGGCGTTATTATCTTAACTCCCGGAACGGATGACCTGACACTATTGGAAATCCACGGGCTTTGTTATACACGCTATACGTACCTACATAGATTAACTACCTACTGAAATATGAGCAGTACTACAGTAGGTACAGACTATTATAGCTGACTAATACTGCTTCAGATTGTACCGTTGGCACGGAGGCTGAGGAACTGGCTGCCGCGCAATGAATCGCGGGTTCAATTCCCGCACGGAACCACTCTTGGTATGATCCTCCAATTGTTGTTCCGGATCTGAGTGTGCTGTGTATGTTTATAAACGCATCCACAACACTAGACAACGGTAGAATGGGCGATTAAAAAAAAAGTATTTTCCTGGATACATGATCTGATCAGTTCGATCAAACCGTGCGTTCGTGCAGCGGAATGTTGTTGAATTTAAAGATTTTAATTATGCAGATATTTAGTGTATGACGTCGTATAATTGTGTATGGTAAAAAAAAATTGTGCACGCAACCATTGTGGAGAAATTCACCAAAAACTGATTCCGCTGGGCGAACGTTGTCCTGGCGGAACTTTTTTAATCCATAGACTTTAGAAGAAAAGAGGTGTATCCAAAAATTAGTGTGTAATTGTGTATGTATGAATAAAACTAGTGCATGCATAAACTTCGGAGAAATTGCTATTCAAGTGCTAAGTATATTAGGTATTTAAGATTTTAGAGCCGCTTTTTTTTGTCAGGGGAAATCATCAAATGGGTTCTTCCGCCCAGGGTAAGGCGAGAGACTCTTACGGACTAAAAAACCCCCCGTTCCTTCTCCTGCTCCGGGCCAATCGGCCAAGGCCGCGGTACCTTATTGCGCTTGGCCCGCCACCTCGGCTGAACATCAGCCCTATATGGCCCTGTCTGTGGTGGTCTATTAGCTCTTTGAGGCGCGCGCGGAACGCTACGCGCCCTAAGGTCGGATCTGGTTCTGCTCGGGCGGTGAGCTACCCTTACTCACCGTACGCAGACCCGCGCTTACGGTGGCCGAAGATCATCAAGTGCTAATAAGCCGGATTTTCGGGGCAAGCGCAATTAGGTACGGCAGCCTCGGCCTGGAGCGGAAGGAACGGTGGTTTTTACTCCGTTAGTCTGATACTCCTTCTCGCTTCAACCTGGACGAGAGAAGTCACTTGATGGTATTACATACTTCAAAAATTTGGGGGAATTCGGAATTGGGGAAGGAAAGGATCGGGGCTTCGGTCTCACTCGATTACAGACAACGCTAGCGTTGGTTCTCGCTGGTTCTTGTGAGGCCGTGGTATCAGTCGAGGCAGCACATTCATGCCGTAACATGGCTCTAACACACTAACTTCACTACAGGTCCCTGAGGAGAAATACGGAGGTGTCCTAGATCAAATGTTGACGTGCAAGTGTTTGTTAGATAGGTAAATAAAAAGGTACACGAAGTGATTATGGATTTTAGTCCCTAGTATTTTTTTTATTTGCGGTTTCACCCATACATTGTCACGTCTTTCTGGGCCCATGCGAGAACACAACAAATGAATTATATTACAGTATTACAGACAACTCGTAAGGAGTGTTTATGTTTATAATAGTATACTTTAATGCAGTAATAATACATAAAAAATGTGTAATTCAGTGAGTCATAGGTGAGTTGGCAGTGTTAGGAATGAAAATTAAAACTACCATTTTCTATTTCCAGAATGGAAGAGCTTTATATTATTGCATAATAACAAAATCTTTGTAGTCCTATTAATTACATTAGTCAAATGAAATACCTACCTTACAACGTGAGGATTCAATAAAAACAACACGTACAACTACAGAATCTTTAATTATATCCAACAAGTACTCTTAAGCGAATCTTTTAAATCAATCTTAACTTAATCGCTAAAACTCGAACCTTTCTCATTTGTATGTCAGATACAAAAATATTTATATCTTATATCAACAGAAAATCCACTCATACCATGTGATACACTAAACTTATTGAATTAAAACAACGCACTCATAATTTCAGCGTCCATCGTCCGGGATACTTCGACTAGTATCTAGTATATAAAATGTATTCACAAGCCAGGGGCGCCGGCTTTCAATATGAAGCCACGATGTACAGATCACTGTCTGGTTACAAGTCTGTAACAAAATGGTGAGCTTCAATAAACGGGATCGCCTCCTAAGTGTATTATATATCGCTTCTTTACAAGAACAACGTGACATCTCATAAAAACGATTTTTTTTATTATTTGATATTCAAAACCGCGATGTCGAATATTATTTTCTGCAAAAACGCGGCATTTTAAAAGTGAATATTCGAGGAGCTATGAGTGAAAGAGATGACTTGACCGTGGCAAATGACGTTATCACGTTGTCTCTTTCGGTGTGGCGCTCGACTTCGACAACGCGACGCGTTAGTTTGGCCCGCACGCGCAACGAGTGAAGTGCTCCTGGTTTTCACAAAAAACGTGACATCACGATTATACCACGTTTTTAGAGCAAAGGTATGTTTCTTGTTGTTATTTACTTTAACTTGAATAATGTGATATTATTGTTTAACTCGTTTTTATTGTAAAAGTCGTGAGAATTGAGAATGTTTTAATGAATATTGTCACATTATTGATGAAAAAGTTACAAGCTTTCTTTTTGGTATCTTTAAATGTAACCATGTTGTTGATGAATCGTTTTTAAACACTATGGGTTATTTTATATTATATCACTATTTTTGAAAACCTTTCAAGTTTTGTTTATATTATGCTAAAATATTACATTATACATGCTAAAATAAAGTAACTTTTATCATTAGTTTTTCAGATGGCATCAAGATCTAGAAAGTTAATTGAATTAGCTACAGGTGTAGCTCAGATAGATAACACACAAGATGAGAGTGAAAATGCCAAAAGCTCGAGTAATACAATGCAAATATCAACAGAAGGTATTTTTTTACTTTTGTTTACTGATACTTTTTTCTTTATATTCCTAGAACTTCATTATTTCAATCCTCTTTACAGGCAAGGACGTCGCAATAGATTCCATCCGACCTCGTAGTAGTTCGACTAGTAGCAGTAGTTCCTGCAGTTCTTGCAGTTCCTCGAGTTCTAGAAAATCTTCAAGCAGTGATCCATCTATATATCAAGGTAAGTTAATTTAAATGCAAGAGGGATATAAATTATTTACTCCTAACATCTAAACTTCTGTATAAATGTTAGGAGTAATAATTTATATACCAATATTCTTACAAAATTACCGGCAATTTATAAATACATTACCATATCACTATACTTCAAGAAATTAATTACATTTATAACATTTCAGACAGCGACGACTCGGTAAAGGATCCTGATTATGAAGCCCAATCCACAAAACGTGCTGAGTATTCTTTTGATACTGACGTGGAAGAACATATCACGACCAACTATAATAACATTTCGGATGATCCTAATTTGGTAACATCAAATATGGCTTCAATAAACAATGACAACTACGAGGAACCACTTTCGTCTACAAACGAACATGTACTCAACGACTTCGGTGTCATAGAAAACAATGAATCTTCTGCGATTGAAAGCATAGGTAACGAAAATACTGTAAGTCCAATAGTGTATAATTCTAGTCCAACTAAAACTGGTAAAAAAAGAAGACTAAATGAAGCTACCTGGAAAGTCAATGTAGCTAAACGACTGAGAAATAGTGGGAAGCCTTATCAATCTACCAAATCAAAAAAAAACATGCCAAGTCGTGAACTAAAACCTTCTTGTAAAGATAAATGTAAATTTAAATGTGGCTTTAAATTTACAGAGGAGCAAAGACAGACCATTTTAAATGACTACTGGAGCTTAGGTGCAATAGAAAAACAATGGACGTTTATTGCTAATAGCGTAGACATAGTCATCCCAAAACAACGTTACGTTAAAGTTGATTCGGATGGAAATGTTGCGACTATTCGAAACAACAATAACGCTTTCTTTTTGACTATTTCTGGTGAAAAAATAAGAGTTTGTAAATTGTTCTTCAAAAATACTTTAGGAATTAATAATCGACCCATAGAGACTGCTTTGAAAAAGAAAAATAGTAACACTAATATTTCTTCAATGAAAGATAACCGAGGTAGTCATTTAAACCATCATGGCGTGGACGAAAGTATTAAAAATGGCATCAAATTGTTTATTGAGTCTATACCGAAGATTGAGTCACATTATACCCGTGCTAACTCAAAAAGAAAATATATTGATGGTAGCAAAGCTGTCACAGATCTTCACAGAGATTATGTGGAAAAATGTAAATCCCAAAACGTTCCCTATGGCACCTACATTACATTTTACCGTATTTTCACACAAGATTTTAATATTTCGTTTTTCACTCCTAAAAAGGATTTATGCGATATATGCGAAGCTTATAAAAACATCACAGATGAAGAAAAAGAATCTAAGAAAGAAGACTATGAATTACATCTTAAGGAAAAGAATTGGTCTCGTATTGAAAAAGAAAAAGATAAGAACAACAAAAATATTTGTGTAGCGGTCTATGATCTTCAAGCAGTGTTTCAGTGCCCAAAAGGCGACGTCTCAGTTTTTTACTACAAATCCAAACTAAATGTACTTAATTTCACAATTTATAATTTACAAAATAATTCAGTTGAGTGTTATGTATGGGATGAGTCGAACGCCCAGAGAGGTGTCAACGAAATAGCTACCTGTGTTTACAAATACCTGGAGAAAATATCCGAAACGGCCGAAGACCTCGATGTTGTCTTTTATTCAGATAATTGTGCTGGGCAGCAAAAAAATAAGTTTATGATCTCAATGTACACTTACGCAGTCAAAACTCTACCAAATCTCAGATCAATTACACACAAATACCTCATTAAAGGGCATACACAGAACGAGGGCGATTCAGCTCATTCTCAAATAGAGAGAGAAGTTAAAAGGCAACTGAGATCAGGACCAATGTATACACCTGACGCATTTATTGGAGCTATAAAGGCGGCACGGAAAAAAAACGAGCCATTTCATGTGAATGAAATGTGTTTCGATGATTTTTTTGATTGGAAAAGTATATGCACTCAAATGAACTTTGCAATAATGAAAGATGAAGACAATAATACTGTGAAACTGGCTGGACTAAAGATGGTAAAAGTTCAAAGCTCTGATCCTGATGCTATATTTTTCAAAGAATCATATGCTGACGAATTATTCAAGAAAGCTATAGTGGTCAGAAAAAAGAGATATCATAATAACCAAACCATTAATTTAGATTTGCAAAAGGCCTATCTCCAGAAACCTGGACTAGCAGAGAGAAAAAAGGCTGATCTCATGGATTTGGTCAATAAAAACCTCATTCCTAGATACCACAAGCCATTTTACGAATCGTTGTAATAAGACTGATTAAGTACCTACAAAGATTTTTTAAGTTTAATTTTTTATAAAATATTTAATTGTTACATTTATAATGATATCGTTTTTATTAGTATTAAGAGAATTTGTGATTATATGTTCATAAAGGGTCATAGCAATGTTCCTATTTTGAATTTCTTTATACTATAAAACTTGGTGCCATAATTGGGTTAGAAGACGTTAATTAATATTAGATAACTTTAAGTATGATTAAATTTTTGTTTCTTTTTTTATTTGTATGAAAGTATTTTTAGTTACCTTATAATTTAGTTAATACCAGTATTAAGTACTATGTGATTAATTGATCTCTTGTTGATTATTGTGCCTTAAACTAATTTCATGTTATAAGTAAGCCATTGTTTTCGTAAATTTATATTTTTTTAATACAAGATCTTTATTTTAATAGTGTGTTTTATTTAACTTATCACACAGCCTCACACCTAAATTTAACATCTTCAACGTGATATATCAATATGTTACAAGCGTTTTGTGACATATTTTCATTAAAAACGTGACATGTGTGTCTGTGTTTTTTTAAATCAGTTTTTTAAATCATTTTATAGTGAACTGGGTTTTGTTTTGATTATTTTCAGATAGCACATTAATTACCGCAACAATTTAATAGTTTTTTATGGTAAAATTATCTAAATTCCAGAATTTATGAATGTTTTAAGGTTTAAAATTGCTCTCCTGTAAAGTTGTGGTTTAAAAAATATCACGTTGTTCTTGTAAAGAAGCGATATATGCATGCATGACTCGTTTTTGACTGTTTTTCACTTTTTACAAAATTTTCAGGAATATTTTTACCTTAAACTAGTTAGAATAAGCTTATTCTATTACCACCTATCATAGTAAAGTTCACATATTTTTCTTAAATGTATTGCTTTATAAGCTTATCACTTAGTGTATCGCATTTCTTTCAAATAGCATCCTTAATACATTGAGTAAGCTAAGTATCGAGAAAAACTTGCTGTGAAAATATTGTATTGAAGTATTACTCAATACTTTTTGTGCTATCCAAAAATGTATAAAAATGCACTAAAGACTTGATATTTTGTAGAAAAGCTCTAAAATATTATAAAACGCTGTCCCGCGTAAAAATGATACATTTCTTTGAGTTAGGACACTATTCGAGCCAAGATGCGACACTTAACATGCAAAGAACCTCCTCCTTTTTTGAAGTCGGTTAAAAATACATTACAAGACACAAACAAAAATTTTAAGCTAAATCTACTCACAAAATCTACTTTTAGGTATCGCTCTTCCAAAGCTTGATAGTCTTGTCGTTCTCAAGTGCTGCCGACGCAATGATATTCTCGGTGGGATGACACGCCGTACAGAGCACAGTATCAGTGTGCCCTGACAGTCGTTGCACGATCTCTTTTGATTGCAAGTTCCAGATGTACACCAAGTTGTCTTCTGAGCCCGATACTATCCACTGGGGACAAAAAGGTGAATGATATGTTACGATATTATGTGACAAACAAGAAATATTCTCAAACAAAGAGGAGTTTTAATTTTTAAAATAACAATAAGAATTTCATTTTAAGTTAAGTAAGGTAAAGTTTAGCCCTACTATAGTCAGAATTTTAATTCGATTCCTGATTTGACATGAGCTACTGTCATTTTGTGAAATAATGATACCACATACAACAGTGTAGTGGTGAACACAAAAATCGATAAACAATCAGTGAATCAGTTTCAGGAAGGCATTCAAAAAATTACGGCTACCGGATGGTCTAAATGCGTATCCCATGTTGTCAAAGATGTCAGCCACAATTTATAAAATTTCTGTTTTATTTGTCATGTTCCTTCATGATCACATTTTTTAATTTCACACACAATTACAAAAGAAAAGTTTCAGATCGTTAATTAATTGTCAAAACTAAATTACCGGTTCAGAAATATTTTATTTCCTGATAAACTTAGTTTACGAGAGTAAATTTATAAAGGAGAGGAATCGATTCAGAAATATTCGATTTCCATATCGAATTTCGCAACGTCACTATTTTGTGCGTGTCATAACGTTGCAACACTGAAATTGTCAATTCTGGAATGGAATTAAAATTCAGAGTATAGTAAAATTTAAAATGAAATAATAAATATTGTCAATAACGTCAAATGATTCTGATTTGGTATATGGATACTTTATCCTACTTAAGCTGACCTATGGTTACACAAATTAACGATAACAACGAATGACGTCATAGGAAGGATCACTTTGCAATCTACGTAAACGACACCTATATTGCGCTTGCGTAGGAGTTCCGCTACAAAGCATACTATGTCTTTAACTTGTTATTATAACATTTTACTATGCCCTACCGTCCGTGTATTATGCTTACGTGGTGGGTATACCTGGACTCCTTGGCATAAGTATATAAATAAAAAAGTTTGATCGACAAATTTATGAACTTATCAGGAAATACATTTCGCCAATTTGTATTTTATTATAGGTACATAGAGAATTTATATATTTTGCTATGTGATCATTAAAGTGGATCGCTAGCAAGTCCGTGGGAATTCAACATTTTACCTTGACATACTTGCAATCTCTTATCAAAGACGTCAGATTGTGGTTGTAAAAATCTGTGAGAATACAACTGACTGATAAGAAGAATATCGCTATAATAATGGCTATCGAACTACGGAACGAGCGGCCGAATAATCTATTTGGGTAAGGACACTCGAAAGACAGAGTAAAATTACTAAATTTGGTGACATACAGCTGGGCTTTGTTATAACCTCCCACTAAGAGTGGCTAAAAATAAATGTATCTAAGCAATCTACGCTATAGATAGCAGACGACCGATACGTCTTCGATGAATAATACTTGTGTGGCAATTGTTGTATTTACTGCAGATAAACAATTTTATTAAGCATTTTTATATATTCTATTTTATCTATAAACACGTAGTATGATTGTGTCATATTGTCATGCCAATATGCTCCAATCAGAATATGGAATTTAATTTGTGTCTACTGTCTATCTGCCACTTACATGAGAGTGGCGGAAAAGACCCTAAAATAAAATGATAAATGTATTTCCAAAAGTGGCTTCCAAATGTTACTCCTAGAAATGGCTTCAAAGTCTTCAAACTATATTTAATTTCTTAACACATTTTGATTATTTCTACTATCTGAATTTTGTTTTTGTAGGGAAATTGAACATCGAGCTCAGTGGCGTGCAATTGGGGAGGCCTATGTCCAGCAGTGGACGACAACAGGCTGATGATGATGAGGGAAATTCTATAGAGGAAGTTGTGTACTAAACTTAGAAATATTTTTCCAACTTTTTAATCCAATACTAAAAACAACTTTATTCATTGACTTTGTGGTTTACTTAATTGAAGCTTTAGAGTTATAAGTATGATTTTTTAATCAAAAATGGCGACGTCATTCATTTACAACATTCATAGTAATCTGTTGATTATGACATATCGAAAAAAGAAATGAATTTTACTAGTTTTCAAGTAATTACCCATATGACACGTATAAGAAGTAGACTGAATTTTCTTTCTTACCTTTCCTCCAGTGACACTGAAGTTGGCAAAAATGCAATATTTCTCGTTTTTATGTCCCGTGTAGGTCTTTAGGCACTTGCCCCGGCTGTAGTCCCAGAGTTTGAGTGTGTTGTCCAGTGTCGCCGCCAGAATATATTTGCCATTTGGAGAGAACTTCACAAACGAAACCGGCGGATTGTCGTCGTCTATCAACGTCTTAAGACATTGACCTGACGCTGTATCCCAGATTCGACTAAAATAGAAGAAATTAAGTTGTAATATGTGTATAAAGAAAATAAAAATAATATATTCATTGACTGTACACCAATGCCACCAATCAAAATATGGATGGAGAAAGAACATAAAAGTTAGTGTGAGTCTCTAAAGTTTCTAAATAACCTAAATAAGTACGCACCATAATCCATCATAACTCGACGATACAATAAGGCTGCCATCTCTGTTAAAATGCACTGCTGATACTGGATCTGAATGTGCTGGTAGTGTTTTCAAACATTTGCCTGAAATAAATAATATCAAATTTAATTATACCAATTTAAAAGGAGTCTTTCAACAATAACGTGGGTAAAAGAATTGTAGATCTTTTATTATTAGTTTTTAAAAAACTTTTTATGTCTTTGATTTTTTTATATTGACAACCCAATTTCAAAAGTGCTATGTTAAGCCAAAAATTGGCATTGCCTTTTTATTATTCCTATGTGCATTGGCGTTAAATCGCGGGTACGAACTAGATTAGTATACAATACAATAAACTGATGCAGACCTTTTTGCTCAATATACCTATAGATGAAAGACAAAATAGCAATCTGACTAGGATGTTAATGGTATTAATAGTACAGTAACCTACTTCTACAGGAGTAGCAGCTTGACATTTACGATTGTTTTATTTCCACATAGTTACCTATCTAATATTAGAAGTAATTATACTCGTAGTTTGTATGGAAAGGTCTTGAAAGTTGAGTTGTGAAAAGTGAAAATGTTTAACACTGAGATGTTAATAAGGTTCAGAATTGTGTAATGTAACTCTGCATATATTTGGAGAACACCGATCGTGACTGTCCTCACGACAAGATTTTAGACTCGTTTAGCGTAGTAAAGACGCATATTATTATTGTAATGAAGGTGTTGTTATATATGTGGATCATTGACCGCGTTTCCTTTGGCTGCTAATTAAATAATCATTATTTACGTGTCCCTCTTTGTAAATAGTCACAAAATATCAATGCGTCAATGAATGACTAATAAAAGTAACATTAAATCGCGAAGTTAGAAGGTTATTATTATAAATAAGTTTCAGTTAAATAGTTTGAAACATCAACAGTTTCAGTAGTGACACAGAGTTGACGACAATGTATGCCAATAAGTTTAAGTACTGTGTAACAGTATTTATTGACACCAACTGGTGCGATTATTGTGGGCTATAACTACGCCTTATCGTCTCCGAGAAGTACAACATAAGTTAATGGAACATTACATTTAAGCACTATGTAAGGAAGGATAATTTATTTCCTACCTATATTAGGTTCTTTAATGAACTAACAAGGAGAAAGTGCGGGTTTCGTAACAGGCATTCACATTTATCAAACCCACCCTTTTTAATGGCTTAATTTTAAAACCCTCGACTTTTTAAAAGTCAACTCGTATAAATTAACCTTTTCTATGCGACGCATGGAGTATCGAAAATGTCATCGTAACCGTTAATGGTGAACAATTTATAAAGTTAATTTATTCGTTTACAAAATAATAACTTTTATTCTGTTTTGTAATTACAATTGCAATTCAAAAGGAGGAGCCATTTGTTCGTTAACGCCCGCGGCATTAGCCCGTGTCGAATCCGGTTAAATTCTTTGTCATTAATTAATTCCTGCACTTTTTCATGTTCCTGTTTTAAATCCACATTTAAATTCATAGTAGGATTTATGCTATCAATTTTAAAAGCCTATGTTTAACAATTCGACTGAATGCGTTTGTATTTTAAAAATCGTTATTATTATATACTTATTTCTGATCCACGAGATTTTGCGTGTAATTAGATTGAAAGTAAAAACATAAATATCTTACCTGTTCTTACATCCCATATCCGTACGCTCTCGTCAAAACTTCCCGATACGATAAGATTGCTTTGTGGATTAAAATTACAGCAGAATACGTAGTTGCTATGCCCTTTCAATGTCTTCAAACATTTGCCTGAACTCAGTTCCCATACCTGAAACATAAAAATAGGTTTTAAAGTAAAGAGGGGAGCTGGTCTATTTTGAGATATTATGGTGCAATACAGATGAAATAAGATTGGATTACAAAAACCTTTTTCCATATTCAACAAAGAGACATATTTACACCCAGAATGTATATGAATGTTTGATCTTAATAAAATCTAGGTTTCCGAAAATATATTGGACACAATTTATATGATAACTTATGACATTAAATACAATTATTAGATTACATGAATCATAGCTATTGCATTAAGATATGGGGGTCAAAGGATAAATATGCAATGTGCTTAATAATATGGTTGGTTTTGGTCATAGGGATCACCAAATACTTTGATAAGATTATGTAAAATAGAAATGACCATTATGTATTTTAATTCAATTTTCATTCATAATTTTCCCATTCTTTTTTATTGGGAATAACCAATCCACATAGGTATTTCACCATGTTTTAAGTTGTTTTATGTAATACAACTAACATCAAACATTTCCAAAAAAAAGTTAACAAAAACTTCTGATTGTTTCAGTTTCTTTTTTTACATAATGTACACCCATATTAATTAATATCCTAATAAAACTTTTTTGGAGAAAGTTATAAAGGAGGATGCATACATTTTTAAGGCACTAATGTTTATCTATTTAATGATGAGGACATAAACACACACTGTTATCTATAAAGATATGAGTTCACTAACCCAATGAGTTTGTTATCTAGTTTCCCAGACTGTTTTAACAAAGGGAACTAGGAAATTTTAAATTTGGGGCAAGTGGTAATAATGTTCATCAATCATGATAAGTATAAGGTGGCACATAAATATTTAATATGATGGACTTGCCTATATTCTGGTTACTTTGGAACTACAATTTTTCAGGTTTTAATAAAGCTTTATCTAGTAAAACATTTTATTATTAGTGATAAAATAATACTAATATTATTGTGAAACTATTAGTCAAATAACTTCAGAAACCCTATATTGTTATTATCTATCATGTACAGAAAACAATATATTTAGATATTTTTATATAAGTATACTGTATTCATTAATTAAATCAAATATGTATATTTGTATTATCTAAAAATACAATATCCGTGTAGCGACAACTAACGGCCGCATGTAACCTTTTTCGTAAGAATTCCTATCGTGAGTATGGCGACACAAAATTCGCGTGTGTAAGCTGTAAAATGTCCTCACGCAATTCCTTACTCCCCACCCCCTCCTCCCACGTCGCCCTACGACCATCATTTACCGCGCATGCGCGACCCCTGTTAACGTTCGCTATTCGAATTTGGCGCGCATCAACGCTCTATGGTTTTGGGTACTTTTATGAGGAAGTTATTTAGTTTTAAGGTCAAATGTAAAATAAGGTTTTATATTATATTGGAACATTAACAATGAAACTGGTATGATACAAGAAAAATATTTTTTGTAGCTGTGTATGCTATTTTCATTAGTACTACTACTTATTGTTAGTTAGTTATTTTGATGCTTGAGTATAATTAAATCAAATTTTACCTTTAAAGTTTTGTCATCACTGGCACTGACTATCAACCTGCTGTCTGAGGACCAAGCCACATCACTGATACCCATTTTGTGTCCTGATATTGTCTTCTCAAATTTGCCATCATAAGCACCCCATACTTTGATAAGTTTGTCAGCAGCTGAAAAAAAACAATAGAAATGTTATCTCTTATACATTTTTGTAATTATTTATGGTTCTTAATAATATGATAATAAGAATGACATCATTATTTAGCGTGGCTTAAGTAATCATGCACATAAAATGCTGAGTTGCTTGCCTAGCAACAGTTGGTTTAAATTGTAAATTGAAGTGAAGGTCAAAAAACTAGAATGTGCTGTTGAAATATAAATTAGAAATTTAAATTGCATTATTTATGGGTTTTTAAGTTATCGAAAGTTTAAGAAAATACTCATTTGAAGATACTGTTTTAATTATTTTTTATATTACAATTTTTTTTTCCATTATTGAAAATATTTTTATAGCAACTTTACAGTTGAAATAATATGTATTCCTTCTTTAGAATAACTGTTGAGCAACATGAGTTCTACATGTGACGTTCAAAGTATTACATCATTATTTAAAGAAACAAAAAAATTGTGATGTAAACTTTTCTTACAATATCCACCTATTGGCAGTGGGCATTCAAGGCCAAATGTTTACCAAACTGTTGCCTGAGCCTAAAAATGTTCTTTAAAAACATTTAAATCAGATCTCATAGGTCATTGACCTAATTTTTTTAGTTTTTTTTTAAATTTAACTTAGGTACAAAATAATAAATCTCATGAGGCAAAGAAACTCATGGAAGGCATTTTTTCATTTGTTTAGTAGAAATATGCACCTGAGTGCAATACTAAGTAGAGATAACAGTAATGACTAAGGCAAAATATTACAAAAATATTATTGGACACAGACCAATTCAATTTCTTTGTAGTTTAAATGTGTTAAGTGACATATTAACTTCCTACTACCTTTAACTCTTCAAAGACTAATACTGACATAGGTAAGTTCATTTATAATAATTGATAATGATAATAGGATACATAAACATGCCTATTTTATGTTTTTAATAGAATAAAAAACACAAACACTAATCATAAATGGGTCATCAAAGGTAAATAAATAACTGACATGAGCAATTAATTAATGCTTTTATAATACTCACAGGAACTTGCCAACCATTCTCCATTTGGACTGAATTTAACTGAAGATACAGCTTTCGTGTGACCCGCAAGTGTGAATTTGAGCGTGTAGTTCGGCTTCTGTAAACCGACATCAAAATTAGCGCCAAATCGCACGTGCTCACACAAGTTGAAGTTACATAAACATGTGCCGCCCGCCAGACTGACGCAAACCAATGAAATGCAATGAGACAACGCTACTTACCGCCGCTGAAGACTTGTTTGATTGTGGTGCAGATTGTGATAGTGAATTTGGACCGGAAAGATTGGCGGAAGGTCCACCGTGTGTTTGGTGTGCAGCAGGATGGCCTGGGCCGGGACCTAGCGGCACCATGTTTCAACTTTAGACGCACTACGCTTTACTTTGTTCGTCACCCAACACAGTCACTATCACACAATGAAACACAATCTAAATTAAACTTAGAAAAAGGCAACACACGGAACTTGTCACTCACTTCAGTTTTTACATATATTTCAACGTAGATTTTCAAAGAACATTCTAAATCCGGGCGTCCCAATGCGTGCATATTTCGCGAAGACGAACAGTGGTGCCAACCTACTTTTAAAACTATTCCCTCCCCGCAGCGTTCTAACTGGCCAGGCGATTGTCTATGCTATGTTAATTTTGGCAATTATTCATAACATAAAGAAAATTAGTTGATATATTAATTTTCTTTCTTTCTGCATAGTATTTATTTGACAAATCATTCTAGTATTGATATAAATTAAATGAATGAGAATTTTTGTAGGATGACATTGCCAGTCGTAAAAATAAATCTTTTTTAACATTGGCACGTTGGAAATGACCTCTTTGACATTCCCAAGGTTACATTTGACATTAAAAATCCGCCGCTGTTCGAGTCAGGATTTTGCAAAATAGTTTGAAAAACTGTAACGAAAATGGCTTTAAATAAGCTTAGTATTGATGCCCTAAACTTAGCTGGCAAGCGGGTATTGATGCGGTAAGTTTTTCTTTTCTAAAAGCACAAATAACAATCTTACAACAGGACACTGTAGTGTGAAAATAAAATTGATTAAATAATTTCAGAGTGGATTTCAACGTCCCCTTGAAGGACGGAGTCATCACCAATAACCAGCGTATCGTCGCCGCTTTGGATTCTGTTAAATATGCGTTAGACAAAGGGGCAAAATCTGTTGTACTTATGTCACATCTTGGCAGGCCCGATGGTCAGGCAAACCTAAAGTATACCCTAAAGCCGGTCGCTGAGGAGCTCAAGAAACTTTTGAACAAGTAAGACATTACGTATATTCTTTTCTGGATGATTTGTTCATGGCTGTGGAACTTGTATTGCGTACAGTACAGGTTAAGGTGAACAGATAACTCTACTTTTATAATGTTTTAATTGTTATAACAAAAAATCAAAACATTAACATTTATTTATCATTACAACAGATGCCTAACTGATTATCCATGTGACTGCTCTTCAAAACATAAAAAAAATATTTAAATCATTGGGATTTTGTCCCTGAGTCCAGTTCCCCAGCCACTGCCTCAACAACATACCAACTTTTTTAAATTTTCAGAGATGTAACATTCCTTCCTGACTGTGTGGGTCCTGAAGTAGAAGCTGCCTGTGCTGACCCTACCCCTGGATCCGTAATCCTGCTGGAGAACCTCCGTTTCCACATTGAGGAGGAAGGCAAGGGTGTTGATGCATCAGGTGCTAAGGCTAAAGCTGACCCTGAAAAGGTCAAGGCATTCAGGGAAAGTCTGAGGAAGTTGGGTGATGTTTACATCAATGATGCCTTTGGTAAGCATGTACTATGACAATAATACAATGCAAAACTATCTTTTTTATTTCAATTAAACATCACTAATCTTAAAGTAAAAAAATAAACAAGTATATGTGTCAATATTTGTAATACTAGCTACTCTTGCGCGGTTTTACCGGCTGCTCGGCTCCATTTGATCATAGCGTGATGTTTTATAGCCTATAGCACTCAGGAATATTTTAGTGAAAGAATTTTAGTATAATCCGACCAGTGGTTCCAGATATTACCCCCAAATTTTACCTCTTTATAATATTACTATAGATTGGTAATGGTGAAAACAATACTAAAATGCAATAGAAAACACATTGTGTCGTGCATAGATCTGCAGGTACCACAGGTTTATTATCAAAAAGGCTTCACACCTTCTTATATTAATGAGTTTAGAAAGATGTTAATACTTCCAGCACAAGTAGATGATAATTCCATGTTACAATTTAATCATTTTTAATTCCTTTATGTTTTATGGTGTGTGTTAATAAATAATAAAATTATGTTAACAGGTACAGCCCACAGGGCACACAGCTCAATGATGGGAGAAGGCTTTGAACAGAGAGCCAGTGGTTTCTTATTGAAGAAGGAGCTACAGTACTTTGCTAAGGCTCTGCATGAACCAGAAAGGTGAAGTTTTTACTGATTTTCCATAATATACAAACAACAAGTCGACCTACTTCTGTCTGTCAACTTTATTTGATTTCAATTTTATTTGTACTAATATATGATTGAAAATCCACTGATAAAATTTCACTGACTGGTGTAGGTTGACCTGCTGGTGTAAGCACTACAATTTGTATGTTTTTTTTTTCTTTCTGTATGACCAGTTTAATGGTTTTGAAAATCGAAACCTCATTGGGTTTGTCTTTCATTATCAATATAGTTACTTATTTTTTTATTTAATATTTTTATTTTTAGGCCATTCCTTGCTATTTTGGGAGGTGCTAAAGTAGCTGACAAAATTCAGTTGATTGAGAACCTGTTAGATAAAGTCAATGAGATGATCATTGGTGGTGGTATGGCCTACACTTTCCTCAAGGAAACTCAAGGAATGGCTGTAAGTATACCATTTAAATGTTAACTTTAACTTTTATCACCAAAAAATAACCTTTTTAGGTCTTACACATAATTTTTAAATTATGTTCTCATCATTTTACACTAAGCAATTATTTAAAAAAAAAAATGAAACTTACAGACAATTTTTTTCTAGATTGGTAACTCCTTGTATGATGCAGAGGGCGCGAAAATTGTAGGCAAGCTCTTGGAAAAGGCTGCCAAGAACAATGTGAAAGTTCACTTGCCTGTTGACTTTGTCACCGGTGATAAGTTTGATGAGAATGCACAGGTGAGTCTAGTAATAGATTATAATTTTAATTTTAGTGAATCTTCCTTTTATCCGTGTTTTTCTTGTACTAGTTCTATTCCTTTTTCCATCTTCAATTACATAAAAAAACTTCTTAATTCAAACTCTTCTTCTATTATAGATATAACATGTTTTTTCTACTAGTATAGAACACCTATGACAACCATGATTTTCGTAATGGACACAATTTTATTAACTATGGGATCCCCTAGTATTTCGATAATCGGAATCGTACAAAACATATCCACTACTGAAGGAGGACCTTAGTCCACCAAGCAGATTAACATCACAATCTTGCGTCTAGCGGTTATTCGCGACAATGACTATCGCCTTTGAACCGCGGAAGAACCTTAAATAGAGAAGATTAAATAGTCGAAAGATGTAAAAAATATATGTTATAACCCCAAGCTGCATTTGAACCATAATAAAAAATAAAACCTTTTTAAGAAGGGATTCTTTGTTGAAAAGTGATAATGATGATGATATTTCGTTCCTTTAGGTTGGCGCTGCCGATATTGCAAGCGGTATCCCCGACGGTTGGCTCGGTCTCGATGTTGGTCCCAAGTCCCAGGCACTTTTTGCCGAACCCATTGCGAGAGCTAAAGTTATTGTATGGAATGGGTATGTATTCAAACTAATTTTCTTATTATTTTGTATGTTCGCTCCTATTCATTTCATTCATGAAATGATTAACTTTATTGTAAGGATGTTAATTTTTCCTCTTTTTGTTGTTGTTAAATAGACCAGCCGGAGTGTTTGAATTCGAGAAGTTCGCTGGTGGCACCAGGGCTCTCATGGATGGTGTTGTGAAGGCCACTGCAAATGGAACCATCACTATTATTGGTAAGCATCTACATACAAAATTTATTAAAATACTCACATGAATTCACTGAGAAAATTTCTACTAGTTTTAAGTCACAATGGGACTCTTATTCATGAGCCGCGTGCGCATCGCAGCGACGTCCCGCAGCTAGTTTTTTAAATTAATTTCCCTACAACTGTATGAAAAGGAAATCGAGATTATGTCTTTACTGACAAGTCTGCTATGATGATTTTAATTAGTATCTGTATGAAAGCTCGTGGCAAAATCATATACTATGTCGTGCCTATATATCATAAGCATAAATCGCAAACTGTCTCGGGCTTGAACACCTGTTTAAATTACAATGATATTTTTTTACCCGTAATCGTCTGTTGCACTGAATCTAAAAATTATGTTCTGTGTGTGTGACTTTAAGAGTGACAGAATGTGTTACCTTTAATTCATTGCATACCTTAGCGTTGTCCTGTACGGAATTATAGACATGGTGTTATGCTTATATAGATGCTATTTATTAATGTTATAATCTGCCATCCCTCACAGGCGGAGGCGACACAGCAACCTGCTGCGCCAAATGGGGAACTGAAGACAAGGTCTCTCACGTGTCTACCGGCGGTGGTGCATCCCTTGAGCTGCTTGAAGGTAAGTAAATATGAAGGCTATAATTTGTCACCAGATGGCGCTATTTAATTTGAAGTTAAGTGGCACAATCATTATAGCCGACCAAAATAGATTTTCCAATTACTGACATATTAACAAATAGTTTATTGGACAAATCATACGCTAGAGTAGCTATTCTTGCAGTTAACACACACGTGGTATCTGACATTGAAACAACCAATTTCTCAATACTTGCTTAAATTTTCTCCAAGTAAGATTTACTTTCTAAATAATCTGTGAAAATATCTGATGAAGAAGATTTTTTATTGTTTGTGGTATTAAGATTGTAAACCAAGTAGTTTGTATTCTCAGTGAATGGAGTAGATTTTGTAGGAGTAAAAAACTAAGACAACCCCTAGATCATGGATACGTAAAACTATAATATAGTAAATGCTTTGTTTAACTTGAAAGATATCAATAAAGATCTTAATAATGTGATTAATCCTTTTTCAGGTAAAGTGTTGCCAGGAGTAGCAGCTTTATCTGATGCATAGATAATAAATGAGCAAAGAGTATTTACACCTATTTGCTTCCTAGAAGTGTTTGAAATTATATCCTATTTGATAGAGCGAAAAGTCAAGAAATCATGTTTTGTAAGTGATATGTATGTATAGTACATTATTTATAAGTTATAAAGAGAAGTGTCATGTGTATCGAATAGTGCAATAATTTATAATCGAAATAAATGAGATTGTTGTTTAAAGCTATTTTGTTTTTGTTAATAATTCTGGCTTTTTTTTAAGTAAAGTGTGATAAAAGTGTAAGAATGACTGCACCGTTGGTGCGGTGGCCGGGCAACTGGCTGCCGTGCAACGTGTCGCGGGTTCGATTCCCGCACGGAACAACTCTTTGTGTGATCCACAAATTGTGGTTCCGGGTCTGGGTGTGATGTGTATGTGAAATTGTATGTTTGTAACCGCACCCACGACACAGGAGAAAATCCTAATGAGGGGCAACGTTTTTTTAAAAAAAAAGAAAAAAAAGAAAAGAAAGAATAAAGCTGTATTGCTATAAAAAGCTACCTGATGGCTGGAATTAACTTAGTCCGGCTCGAAGCAGGGGTCAGTGACTTAAACTATCTCGTCTAAAACTAGAAGCCAGAATCTAAAACTACCAACCCATCTAGAGAAAAAATACACCTTTTTATTACTGACTTATTTATCCTATTTAAGTTTCTAGTTGCATCGTCGCCCATTAACTTAAACCTTCATAATTGCATATGTAAGGATAAGTCTATACTAATATTATAAAGAGGTAAAACTTGTAAGTTTGTATGTAGGGGGTATTCTTGGGAACCGCTGGTCGGATTTCCAAAATTTTTTCATTGATAGTTAGCTACAATGTTCCTGAGTGCTATAAAACATCAAGCTAATATTAAATGGAGCTGAGCAGCGAGTGAAACCGCGCGAGAGAAGCTAGTAGACAATAAAGCGTCCACTTGTGTACATAGTCCCAAAGATTTCTACAGCAACTGGTTGTAAGCGACTGATTTTCCGACAAGTTTCTTTACCAATTACCTGATGGTAAGCAATCGACAGCGCAATTTCAGATCTGTTACGAAATGTTCCCACATTTTTTGACGTTAGATAGCACTTTGTTTATTGTGTAAGCATTAAGTTGGAGACGACAATTGAATATAAAAAATGAGTGTTTCAAATTATTGGGAATTAGTGTTTCGAATATTTAAGGATTGGGAATGAATGGGCGAAGGGAGAGGGATTGGGCCTCCAGTAACCTCACTCACACGGCGAAACACCACTGGTTGTTTCACGCCGGTTTTCTGTAGGGCCGACGCATTCATGCCGAAGCTAGGCTTTTCCACACTTGGGGATAAGGCAGGGGGAGTGGCAGTTAGGGTTTTTAGTAGGGCCAGTCATCAGTCCGGTCGATGCGGCTCAATTGTGCCGAAGCAAAGCAATCTCCCTCACATCTAGAAAATAAAATAAAATTTTATGATATTCCCCGATATACGGCAAACTAAATTATAAACGTTACATAATTCAATAATAAAGCTATAAAGCCGATCTCGTCGAGAACGAAATATGGCGCTGGCATCGCATAAAGGTACCTTTTCTACCTATATTCCCTCTAAAACGTTCAGTAATTCACTTACGAAGCTTTAATGGACGGTATATTGAGTTTTATTTGCATAGTCAGCTTAATGTATCGTGGATGGTAAATGTTGAAATACTGGTAAGTAATGTAAACTGTATTTACCTGTTAAGACCGACGGTGGAACTTTCAGGTTATTATCCTTTTGATCTCGAAACATCGGTGTTATTAGGATAGTTTATTTATACACATTTAGGTAGGAAGTTATCGACATACCTAGTGTCTGATGATTCATCAGACAGATATCATTGATCCCATCATCAGCGATGATACATGTGTCGTGGTCCCGGTAACCCGGAGGTTAAGGTTAACATATCATGCATGGACCTGGCAAGTATAAATAAGTATGACATTTTTGGATATGAACTTTCTAGGATTCATTTAGACACCACTATCATACAATGAAGCAAAACATAGAGTAAAACGCTTGACTTAATATTTTCTAAAAACATATTTGAAATCGCCAAGCCTCCTTGAGGAAGTGAAGCTGATAATTGCTCAGACTGAGATTGTTCGCAGCAATTGCAATCAGTGAGAGAGATAAAATGAAACTCTTGAAACCCCAGAGCAAACTCAATCAAAAGAAAACTTGTCAGTGCGTGACGGACGTGTAACGCGCGATCGCTGGGGTTCCGTCGCTCAAATTATTGGTTTTCCGCCCTGATCTTCTACTTTGGACTTTGTGTCTTTACGTTAGGATTTAATTTTAAACAGAGACATGTCAATTTGTGGCGTTTAGTGGCTGATCGATATATGTTACCTTCCCAAAATGTTTGATCTGCAATAAACCTTCGTGACCATAACACTAAAAATCAGTCAGACAATTTTACTGCACATTTTTGCCGTTGATAGTTGTGGTAAATTAGATTATGAACATGTCGTGGTGGCCTGGAGGTTAGGGAGCCCGCTTCTCATGCATGAGAGTGTGGGTTCGAAACCTGGCAAGTACAAATGTGGCTTTTTCCGAGTTATATGTACTTTCTATGATTATTTAGACACCACTGACATACGGTGAAGGTAAACATCGTGAGGAAACCTGGACTTATAATTTCTAATTGTAAGTTTGAAATCGCCAACCCGCATTGAGCAAGCGTGGTGATTAATGCTGAAAACCTTCTCCGTGTGAGAAGAGGCCTTTGCTCAGCAGTGGGCACTTATAGGCTGATGGTGATGATGATGATGAGATTATGAACCCTAACATCTACCCTCCATCTGCCGTCCGTTCCTTGACCGTCAGTTCGTTTTGATTTACCTAGTAAACAATACATACGAATGACCTAAACAACGTTTCCTACCTCGCACGGGTGCAGTTCCTCGATTGTTCTAAGGACATGTTTTTCAAATATTTGTCTTGTATCTTCTAGAAAGTTCAGAGGGAGACTAAGGAACCCAAAGTACGGACGGACTAAGATAATTGGAAGAAAAGAAAGGTCACTTACACGCGCCATTGGAAGATGAAAACCTCAGAATACAGAACAAACCAGAAGGCGTCATCGCGCTTCAAACAGAAGCAACTAAAACCATTCTCAACTAGAATAGTATGAAATTTCTACGATTAGTCAATTTTGGCACGTGGCATGTCGTGACGTATTTACGAGTATCAATTTTAATTTCATTATGCCGTCTTGTGTTATTCCTACGAGTAAAAATGCGGCTGAAATTACGAAAAAAGTGGATAAGATTACATTTCATCTGCAAGCATCGACTGCAATAGTATATTTAATTAATTATTGAATTTTTTTTATCGATTTATTTTTCTATGAAAATGATGCGGCCATTTTGTGAGTGTTGTCATTTTTGGTGAAAATTTTACCCACTTATTTATTTGTTGTGGGTTATATTTTTGTCCATTATGGAGCCTATATCATATAAGTTTCCCTGACAAAAAAATAAATACAAATCATCATCTAGCCACAGCATAGTTTGCTCAATTCACTTTAAAGAGATATATTTATGACAAAGGTGGTTTGAAAACAGCATATCCTACTAAGATATATCTATACTAATTATAATGCTGAAGAGTTTGTTTGTTTGTTTGCTAGAATGCGCTAATCTCAGGAACTAAGTAAAGTAAGTAGACTTCTAATCTTTAGTTCCGAGTCTAAAGACAATACATATAAAAAACTAAACCAGCAAAAGGGAACGCAATAAAACCTTTATTTTATTTGTTGTGTATAGTAGGTGTAACTAAAATTAACACAGCCAGAAATCGTCAACTTTTATGATACCTCTATGAAATGTGTGAACAACTAGTCTGTTGCATTTATCGTAAGTTTACCTATTTTGTTGGGTTTACTCGTATCTTACCCTCCTGTTGTAAAATTACCCCAAACCAAGGGAATTGTTCCACTGTCGGCAACACTACGCGGGTGGGAAGTGCGGCTGGCGGGGGGATTGACGTATTGTTTTTGGACACATTTGACGACATGTAAATATGAGTGAACGCGGATTCTGGTTTGTTCTGTATTCTGAGGTCAAGAGACGCTAGTCACTCAATGACGATAAGTCACTTATCAGGCTAAGTGGTTGGTTCGAATTCGCTATTAGGTACCGGAGATATTAGATAGGTACTACCCGCAAACTCCATTCATAAAAATTGAAGTAGGTACCGGAGATATTAGATAGGTACTACCCGCAAACTCCATTCATAAAAATTGAAGTTTTTTTTCAAGGATTGGCTTATTAATTTTTTCATTATTTACATACGTACTTCCTTTTTTTTTAAATAATGTGATAGATTGGCAAACGAATCAAGAAGACGTATAATGCGAAACAATCGTCGCCGACCAGACACCCGCAACAACAGAGAAGTTACGAGTGCGTTACCTTTTGGTGATTATGGTTTTTTGAGATTTTGCGATTGCCGAAGTATAGGGTAGGGAAAGGATTGGGCCTCCGGTTACTCCAATCAAACGGCGAAACCCAACGTAAATTTTATTTCACGCCAGTATTCTGTGAGGAGTCGTATCTACTTTATATAGGTAATTAATGAGTACCTAATACCAATTATCACACAATATCTTCAGGAAATACCAAACTTTCTCTCTATAAATGTCTACTAACATTGTAGATAAGTACTTAATATTCATGGCTCTAGAGTGCTATAGAAAAATATACGAGACAGCTTAAATCAATTAGGGCGAAATTGCTTTCACGGGGTCCCCATAGTATTTTAGATGGATGTAATGTAGACAACATTTAAATGAGGTTAGAACCTTTTTCCTTTAAGACAAAATTGTACGTCGAAACGTCTTCTTCACGACTACCTTTTTAGTGTAGGTATCTAGTGCGACTACTGAACATGAAGTTTTTGGTATAAATCTATATAAACTAATATTGTAAAGCTAAAATGGACCTTGAGGGTGGCGAAGTTAGAGTCGCGCCACAATACGAACTTTAATTCGTTCATGGTGCGAGTTCCAACTCATCACGTCGAGGCATTCCTCAAGGAAGAGTTGCCGAAGGGTGTCGTATATCGGAGGTTCCGAGGACTCGCTACACCACGCAGCGTAACACGACTCCGACACTTCGTGTGCATTAGTTTTTAAATTATCTATGTAACATATGTATTAGTTTATGATTTAATGTTATAATATATTTATGTATTGTGTTCTCTATGGGCCTCAGATGCCTGACTTAAATAAATAAATAAAATAAATGTTGTTTGCTTGAACGAGCAGTATCTCCGAAAATACTGGTTTGATTTAAAAAATGTTTTTGTGTTGGATAGAAGAAGAGACGAGAAAGGTTTTAAGCTAAAAAACATCACGCTATGACAAATAGGAGCCGAGTAGCAGATGTCATGACACACAATATGGCATGAACATTATTTTCCACTGCGTCATTGGCATCCTTACGCACTTCCTTGACCGACGTAGGTAGGACCTATAAGCAAAACATTACTTGCAAAAGGTGAGTGTAAACTAAGTGTAACTCTACCTTCGTCTTAATAATAGCAAATAGTGTTTCGATCTTCTTAAAAGCTCCTCAAACACCTAAACTTAAACTAACGTTACCAAGCATCATCCAAACCATCTAGAGAAAACACTAATGAAAAGAAGATTCACGACTAGAAGACTGAAAAAGAAAATACCTCAGGACTTTATAACCTAATAACATGAATGTTTTAATATTAAGGGATTCAGCACTGGATGTGTACCCTTCAAGCCCAGTTTTGTATCCATCCAAAGTACTTAAGTCCTTTTAAGAGGACAGATTGCAGTAATCTGTAGGTACTTATAGGACGAGAAAAAAAATCAACCAGTGCAATAAAGCAATGTTTTCGTCAAACAGAACAGAAAATAAAATTAAAAGCCAACGATCCTTGGGGATAGAGTTTAAAAAGGAAAACGGCGCCGTTTTTCTCTAGGGTATTTTAAAATTACAAAGCTGATGGATGTAAACGTAGAGGTATGAGAGAACAGGGTGGAAAGCTCCTTATCCTCCATAGAAAAGGGAGGATACTCCGACCAGGAAAGGTTATCGTGGCTGGGCTATTGCCCGAACGGTTGCCCGGTTGTTGTCGGGATTTTGTAGGTATTAGTTCTAATTGCGTTGAGAACGGTTATACTACGATAGAAACTTGATCGCGATTGGTGCTGTTGCTGTGTGTTGTGCGGTAGATGTCGCTACAAGCGCAATGATGTACCGCGGCCCGGCTCTAAGCGGGAGAAGGAACGGGGTGGTTTTTAGTCAACAACATTCTGACACTCAGTCTCACCTGGGCGGGAGAAGTCATTGAATAATTTACGACTCTTCAAAAAAAATCTTTGTCTACCTGTTAATTTTTGGAATAGAGAATGAGTCTGTTGCCAAAACACAGGGGACATTAAGGGAATGTTCAAATCGAGAACTGAAACCCGGTTGATTTGATTGACCGCTACGCTTACTCTTGCTTGCTCAACTACCTTGGTAAAAATGCATATGATAGGTACCTGATACCATATATATCATGTCATGTCACGATGCCATATGCGTTAAAATTGTAAATCATTTAATATTAGGGTCTAATTAATCAATACTTAATTAACGACGTGTGTATATAGAACAAGGCAACATAGTCTTTTACAATAAGTATTAATCATAAAGCATAATTTTCCGACTTCATTACTACGATGGGATGAACTTAATGTACAAACTCAGAATACAGAACAAACCAGAAGGCGTCATCGCGCTTCAAACTAAAGCAACTAAAACCATTCTCAACTAGAATAGTATGAAATTTCTACGATTAGTCAATTTTGGCACGTGGCATGTCGTGACGTATTTACGAGTACCAATTTTAATTTCATTATGCCGTCTTGTGTTATTATTACGAGTAAAAATGCGACTGGAATTACGAAAAAAGTGGATAAGATTACATTTCATCTGCAAGCATCGACTGCAATAGTATATTTAATTAATTATTGAATTTTCTTTATCGATTTATTTTTCTATGAAATTGATGCGGCCATTTTGTGAGTGTTTTCATTCTTGGTGAAAAATTTTACCCACTTATTTATTTGTTGTGGGTTATATTTTTGTCCATTATGGAGCCTATGTCATATTAATTTCCCTGACAAAAAAATAAATACAAATCATACAAAGGGCACGGTTAGATTAATTTTGGAAACCATCTAGCCAGAGCATAGTTTGCTCAATTCACTTTGAAGTTAAAGTTAAATATTTATGACAAAGGTGGTTTGAAAACAGCATATCCTACTAAGATATATCTATACTAATTATAATGCTGAAGAGTTTGTTTGTTTGTTTGCTAGAATGCGCTAATCTCAGGAAGTAAGTAAAGTAAGTAGACTTCTAATATTTAGTTCCGAGTCTAAAGACATATTAAAAAAACTAAAGCAGCAAAAGGGAACGCAATAAAACCTTTGTACTTATTGAAGCTTTATTTTATTTGTTGTGTATAGTAGGTGTAACTAAAATTAACACAGCCAGAAATCATCAATTTTTATGATACCTCTACGAAATGTGTGAAAAACTAGTCTGTTGCATTTATCGTAAGTTTACCTATTTTGTTGGGTTTACTCGTATCTTACCCTCCTGTTGTAAAATTACCCCAAACCAAGGGAATTGTTCTACTGTCGGCAACACTACGCGGGTGGGAAGTGCGGCTGGCGGGGGGATTGACGTATTGTTTTTGGACACATTTGACGACATGTAAATATGAGTGAACGAGCATTCTGGTTTGTTCTGTATTCTGAGTGTACAAATTTTAACAAAAGCAAGCAATTTCTTCCGAACCATTACCCGACGCCATTAGCGTTAAAATTAATTCACTATTCAAATATTTATTTGGATTAATGCTACCCTTTTTGCTTCCTGGAGCCAACTTTATTTTACACTATAAAACATTATTAATTTTTAAAATATTTAATGGAAAAGCTAGGGGGCGCAACGGCTTTTTATTCTGTGACATATTTATTTTTTAAATTAGCTATTCTCTCGCGTATTAAAACCTCATTTCTAAAGCATTTTCGGCCTTTGATATCTGGACTGTCAACTTAATGGTGACAAATTATCATTTAATGCTGAGACCTTTAAGAAAACGAACGTTCAAGTCAGATAAGACTGCAAGTTCTAGAGCCTAGACTATCGATTGAATCTACGACCTTCCAATCACCCCCAACTTAATACCCAGGCCTTTTTACTATCTCCTAAACTTTAAAGATGCTATCTATTCGTTCTACAGTATTCAAGTTACGTGTGGTCTCAACGTTCCTAAAAAAGGCAGGTAAAAACTCTTTTGGGTCGAATTCCTAGTTCTTTTCAATGTATCCTGTACCCTTACGGGGTACAAAGGGGTACCATCACTTGTAGTTGTAAATATTAAAGGTTTTTGTATCAGTGGGAACAACCAATCTGAACTTTATTGACATTTATCTGCCGTGTAAACAATTTGTTTTACTTTCATGAATGAGCCGCTGTCCTTTTAGGTGGTGAATTAATTTATTTTATGTCTTATGTGTTTGGTATAAGATAGGATTTTAAACGCGAACTGCTTGGTTACCGGACCTATTGCAGCTGTATGTGATGGTATCGATCGGTGCTTCGCGCAAGCGTCTCTATACATGCAAGGCAACACGACACGTAGAAAATTGAGGCTCGTTGACAATGAAATGAATAAATGAGGGGAAATGCGTTGATATTTCTGTAAGGCTTAATGAACAGTTGGGAAATTATATTTGTTAATATTTGTTCTGTTACATACCAAGTGGGTTTATAGCCCACCAATACGTGAACTCTGATCCAATTGGCGAGGGTTCGCGCATGCCCAGTAGGTCGAGGTGGTTTTTAACCAAAAAAATAGTAATTTTACTTAGTGTCAGTGATGTAAAGGACATCTGACGCCGCCGGGCGAGCCGGCTGGCGTGAAAAATGTAGTAAAATAGTCTCATTGAAAGACAACATACGATTAGTTTAGTGAAAACGTTTCATGTCAATTGTTTTAGTGTATATCGATTGTACGTAGAGAAAAATATCGTTGTTTTTAGGTAAATTTATTCTCAGGTGAGTGATTCAAGTTTGTTGCTCATTTGTTTTTATTTAGTTCCGTTATAATTTATTGTTTTCTCAGTTTTTCGGTATATTTACGGTGATAATAGTGTTACTGTTTATCAACTTACTTTTACATTTATTTCTATTAATTTCGTTTTAGTAAAAATCAAGAATAATTAATTTTATTCTTTTTTCAAACTACTTCGCGTGTTTCTTGCCTATTCATTTAATATCTTTGACAAATCTGTGCTATTACTAGGTAGGTTTTCATTTCCATTTTTCGTTTTCTTTAAGACAGGTTATAGTCTGTCCTTTTTCTAAAATAATTTGAAGCTACAGGTCAAGTTACGGTGCGATACTTGTAGATTTAATACTTTATTAATAGCTAACATAAACATTATTTTCTGTTCTTTCCATTGCTCTGATTTATATATCGTTATAAAATATGCGGTTCGTAGTCAGTATCCATTTCGTTCAGCATAGCTTATAGATTAACTTTTTTAAACTATTTTTTTAATTTTTTTTTTGCTGTTTGTGTGCCTATTTTCAAATTTGACGTATAGACACTTAATTTTATTTTTTCTCGTTGGCATACGTCGTTGTTCTATTTTATTTATGTACCTGCCCATGCCTAATATGAAACAGTAATAAGTCAGTTATATTTATGTATATGTAGAAAGGTGTATGCTACTGTACCTTGCCCTACCGATCTGCAAGCAAAAGTGCATATATCTACTACAGTCATGATAATTCGGTCAATACTGATAGTACAATCGGGAGCTCTTTCGGAACAAATATTCTGATTACTTGTTCCTTTTCAGAATATTATGCACGCCAATTCATTTTTTTAATTACAGTACCTACTGTAGGTAGGGTATATTATAGATATAGTGATAGATATGTTAAAAATAACTAACCCTTCACTTAAAATTGGATTTAAAAAAATATCGGAACCATTTTACTTTTTCGTTTCAAAATAGAATTATGTTTGTTTAAGCAGAATATTATAAAAGCAGTAGAAGTAACCTTGTCTAGAAGTAACGGTCTTATTCTTTGTTACAAACAGAACGAGACAAAGAATATATACCTATTCTTGTTAAATGAAATCTTTTAAATGTCAACAATCGATTTTTATAATAAGAACGATCCTAATGACTGGCGTTTAAGACTATTTACTTACGCGCCTGCGTGATATGATTATTTATATAAAATAATGATCTAATTATTAGATTTTGATTTTTAGTCTATTCAATAGACGTATACAGACGACACGTGTGTGGAGCATTCGACGAGTACTTAATTTACGAGAAGACCATAGGTACCACAATGCAGAGACATGTGACTTCTCAGATAATTTGAAAGTAATCGATGTAAAATTTTGTACTTAGTAACAAGCTTCGTCCATAGCACGAGGGTAAAAAGTAAACTGTGTGTTATTCCAAACTAAAACCTATATTAGTGCCAAAATTCATGCTGACCAGTTCAGTATTTTAAGAGAAAAAGTAACGAACATTAATGCTTGCTTAAAAACTTTCGCATTTATAATACTAAGTAGTAGGACAATCTCAACCCCTTTAAAACTCTCTATTCCTCATATCACAAGAGGTGAGATGATACTGTACATGATTGCAAAAGGACAGACAATGCACATATAACAGCACCACAACCTACCTTTACAAAAAAATTCAATACACGTATTCCAGTCTTCTTCATATTCTGCCTCAAAGCGAGGAACCTCCATTCAAGTATGCACTAATTTGCATATCGATTCTACAGTTTAAAAACTCGTTCACCCTATTTCCAAGGGTAGTTTCCACAATATAGGGTAACTTCCTTCAATTCTCGTTATTTATTTAACAGCTACCCATTAAGGTAACCACGTTGATTTATGGAACGGATCTGGTAACAAATGAATTGCGTTTTTGGTAAAACGAAACGTTTCTTCCTTGATTCGAATCATGGTTTCTGCGTAGGTATATGAGTTTATTTAAATAAGGGCTGATTTTTCAATAGTAGTAGAATAAAAGTGTTGCTATCACTGTCTTATACAAACATTCTGACGAGACAGCATCATCATTATTCTCCAGATAACTTTTATCTAAGCATTGAAAAATTAGCCCTGAGTAAATAAGAATCTTTCTCCTAAGCGTCAACGCTCAACAGGCATGCGTTATTAAAATCATCCTCTGTATTATACTAAATTCGGACCCATGGAGGCGCTCCAAAGTATTCCGATTCAACAGGCTAGTAAAATAATTTTAGGATTAAATTCCAACATTCTTGATTAATCGACATTTCTCGCAATATGGCACTTTTCCCTTAAGGCCTGGCCGTATTGGAGAACCCGGTCTCAGTTTATAAATGTTGTTTAATCTCACATAAAATGATAATTTTAAGAATAACTATAGAAGAGATAAGTATTATCTAATACAAGACAGCACACATTCCTTGCTGCTTTTTGAATTAGTGTAATAACTGTACTTATACCATTATCATCAACTGCTAATAATAATTCGAAATACCAACATGCTAGATCGAATTTGCTTAGTCACTTCTTGACCGGCAACGATCCGCTCGATCCATTTGCAGATCCATAAAGAATTTATGAGTTTATAAATAATGAAACAATGAAACAATGAATTTATTTTTGCACATAGGCCATAAAACGGCACTTTTACACGTCAATTTGTATGTGAAAAACTAGATGAAGCCGGCATTTCCTATCTGACTACTCTGAGAAGAAATGCCGAAACAAACTCAGAGGTCAGTCTCTTTTCAAGTCCAGTCCAATAAAAGAAAATAAAATAATAAATAAAATAAAAGTATATAATAAAATAAGCATTAAATTTTTATACTGAAAAAAAAACAAATGTTATTCTAGAATATTCTATCGCTGCATTAGGTATACAGTTAATAAAACATATTACAGATTCCAATCAGCGCTCCATAATTAGTACCTGTCGTTTACAATACTATGTATTTACTCACATACATTTGAGGTTTGAAGCCATCAAATTGTAAAAGCAAACTTTGACATTGAAAACCCAACCTTTCCTCGCTTACAGTAAGGTTTAAAACTCATTAAACTCCGCTAATAGGTTAGGTAAACCGCTCATTAGCATCGTGTCAGAAACATAAGATTATTCAGAATTGCTTGCTATTTGAAAAGTTATTATGATCTAAGTAAATTTTCGTGTAATTTTTTGCTGAAAAAAAAAAACATAAAACTGATTTGACCTTTAACGTGAAAGTTGGTAAATTTTAATACTTGAGCTTGAGAAAATTGTGTCGCTTTACTAACTTAAAGTCGTTTTGGAAAAACCTTTTTGTTGAACTTTGATGTTTTCAAACTTTTAAATTGTTTTAAAGTTAAGACCCAATTGTAAAAACTTAAGAATTAAATATGTGTATGTGTATGGTATGCACGAGTATAAATGTTGAACATTTTAATATTCATAATGGAAGTACTTTCATTTATTCTATATTCGTGTCATGAACTCATGACTCTGTAAATTTTCAGACTGATATTATAGTTATAACTTCAATAGTCGTAGAGTGAAAACGCTTAAAAAATCTGCCAGCTATTTATTTAATTGATTTGAAGTAAATGTTTCAAAATGACGAATTGCTCACGTGAATGTACTGAAAATTCTCGACTACTTACAAGTCACAAGGGGACCCTTACGGCACACTGCCTGTTCATAAATGAGAGTATAACTGATTACATGGTGGCACCATTTTGATTTTATATACTGATGAACTATGAGCAAAATAATAATTCATCGTTATATACCTACATGTATCGTTATATACCTATATTTAAAAGAACATCAGGGTTTTCTCCTGTGCCGTGGGTGCGTTTACAAACATACAAATTCACATACACGAGACACCCAGACCCGGAACAACAATTTGTGGATCACACAAAGAGTTGTTCCGTGCGGGAATAGAGCCCGCGACACGTTGCACATCAGCCAGTTGCTCAGCTACTGCGCCAATTGTGCAGTCAAATTGCTTGAGGAGCAAGAAAAGAAAGTAGGGCTTACTTTGAGCCCATGCTTACCTCTGCAGTTAAAAACCTAATGTGGTAATATTCTTTTGTAGGATATGTTAGCAATCGAGCTGACTGGTAGCCTGCTGGTAAGCAGTTCGCGATATCCATTCATTGATAATATTAGAAGAGTTGCAAGTTTTTTTTTATGTAATAGGTCGGCAAACGAGCAGACTGATTACCTGATGGTAAGCAATCAGCGCCGCCCATGGACACCCACAACGGAGGAGTTACGAGTGCATTGCCGATCTTTTAGGGATTAGGGATTTGTAGATTTAGGGATTGAGGAGGGATTGAGGAAGGGAAAGGATTGGGCCTCTGGTAGCCTCACTCACACGGCGAAACACAACGCTGTGGTTGTTTCACGCCGGTCTTCTGTGAATTCTAATATAATCATTGATAATATTAGAAGAATTACAAGTTTTTAGTCTTTTGGGGATTGCTAGGCGTTCGGGGATTGAAGGTGGGAGAAGGAGAAAGTATTGGTATCCGAATAGGTAATATATAACAAGCAACAAACACCTGTACGTGTAGCACATAAAACTCCAAATTAAATAACAGAAATTAATCATACTAATGACTCCGTAATATCGTCAACGTTCATATCAAATTAAAAGGCGCCTAGGCTCACGTTCATAACATTAATTAACGAAAATGTTCTCTGCTAGGTACGTGTTAGGGCACAAAATGCTATATCATAGTATAAACGTTATAGTTTTCGTATTTATGGTCTAGATATCTTGTTTGGTCACTAAGGAATTCGTGTTACGTCATGATTAATGTTTCTTTGAAACATTGTTCTCTGTTTGTAAAAGTTTGATCTTAGTTGTATGTTCTGAAAATATAGTTTATTTTTGCTAAGCGAAAATCATCATATGGTTTCTCCCACTCAGGGTGGGACGGCAGGGAGTTCCAGACTCTTACCGACACTAAAGATCCGTTCCTTCTCCTGCTCTAGGCC